TACGACTATCAAGGGAGAAGAGCACAAGTGGAATGTGGGACCCTATAAAGAGAAAGAGCGACACCAGAGATGGAGGTAGAGATGAGGACATGGAGAGACAGAGAAGCCAAAGACTCTAGATCTTGGAAAAAGAGGGACTGAGAGCTGGCAGCCAGGAGGCAGGCTTGCAGAATGTGCCCTTTGGTTGTTTAAATTATTATATATTCCTGAGTGTTTTTGTGTACATCTCCCCTGCACCTCTCCGCCCCCCCCCAAATAAAAGAAAAACAGAGGAAATGGAAGCAAATACTGCTAAATGATGTTGTACAGAGGAGACTATAATCATTGTAATGAAACGGTGTAAAGCTACCTGTTCTCCCATGTAACTTATCACTCAGTTCACGATAAATTAAAAACAATTTTTTAAATGTGTTTGCAATTAAAAAAGATAATAAGAAAGCACTTTCAACTCTTTCATGAAAATTAAAACTGCGTTACATTATTAGATGCTCAAAATAGTACCTTTCACGTTCCATTTGCCTTAGATGATCATTTTTTATAGCTTCAATCACTAAGTTAGTATGGGGATCATCCTGTGAAAATAAAATGGAGGAAAACATGAGTAATTTAGAAGCAAACCCTACGAACTTGCATTTCTTATCAACCTGACATGAGCTCATTGTGTAAAATGGAGAGTAAATTTATCTTTGTAAATTATCTTCCCTTATGTCAAGTAGAACAATTTTTTTCGTAATTCTTATTTCACTGTGCACTGAGCTGGCATAGATTCTGACCAGGGATAAGTAATGTTGGAAAGAAAAGGATTAAATGTGAGCGGGCTTCAAAAAGGCTGTGGAAAAATCCATTATCTTGTCATTCAAATTTTCCATGAACATTTTGAACACTGACTGAAAAAAGGGCCCTAAAAAAGGCTTGGGGGATTCTTTGGCCAAGAAATTACTCTAATGAAGGATGTCTAATGTTATTTTTAATAGATTGTCCTTTCATTTTTTCTGGCAGAAATTGAAATTGTTCAGTCTACAGGCTGTTAACTGCATGATCAGTAGTTTGAATCTACAAGTCGATCCATGGAAGAAACAAGAGACATTCTGCCCCCGTTGACGGTTTACAGCCTTGGAAACTCTGCACAGGATCACTATGAATCAGAGCCAACTCCACAGTACACGACAACAACAACAGTTCCATTTCCATAAAGAACTCCATCTAAATCTAATGTAAATAACATACGAAATGCATCGAGGATAAAATATAATGACATAGGGCTGGCAGAAGCCTACGAAGTGATCCCATCCAATCTTCTCATTTCTGGGAACAGAAAACCACAGATAACTAAGAACTGGCTACACAACAGTCTTCATACTCACACTTGGTGAAATGTATTTATCATCTTCATCAATTTCTAATGGAACAGCAATCAATTTTTGGAATGCCTTCTTCATTTTTTCACGGTCTCCAACAGCAAAATAACTAAGAATCAGGTTGAAGCCTGCCTTCAGATTTGGCGCCATACTCATTATGTGCTCAAAAGAATTAATTGCATCTGAATACTGGCCAGTTTTAATAAACGTAACTCCAATGTTTTGCATTATTTTAATCCTAAAGGAAAATAAGCATGGGATTAGATTTAAAAGTTTGAACTCGTAAGTCTGACATTCAAGACCATTCCATAAACAATTTCCTTCTTTTCTTTCCCTTTTTTTAAAAAAATTTGCTTTGTTGAAATTTTATTGAAGCATAATTTGCATATAATAAAATTCATTTGTTATATGTATATATGATTCAGTGATTATTATCTATATTTACATAAATGTATAACCATAACCATATTCTTAAATTGCCAGTACCCTAAAAGGAAACCTGGGGTTCTAGTGTGATGCAGTGGGCTAATGCGCTGGACTGTAGTCAGCTTGTACCACAAGGTCGGTGGTTCAAGCTCAACAGAGGCTCCTTGGAAACCCTACGTTGGGTCGCTATAAGTACGGCACTCAACATCAACAGTATGAAACCTTATACTCCTTAGCAGTCATTCTTCACCGCTAGTCCTAAGCAACCACTAATCTAATTTCTGTTTCTATGCATTTGTCTTCTTGAGACCTTGCATATAAACGGAATCATGTTTGCGGCCTTTTGGGTCTGACTTCTTTCACTCAACATAACCTTCATCCATGGTGTAGCATGGATCAGTGTTGCATTCCTATCTTAATGCCTCATAGTATTATCCTAGTATGAAGATAACACGTTTTGATTTTCCCTGACCTATTTGATTGACATTTAGGTTATTTCTACCTCTTGGCTGTTGTGAATAACGCTGCTGTGTATCTGCAAACGAGCCTGTATGACATGCTTTCACTTCTCTTGGGTCAATACCTAGGAGTGAAACTGCTCAGCAGTCACATGGTAAATACGTGTTGAGCCCTTTTAGAAAGTTCCTATTTCCCAAAATAGCAACACTGTTTTGTACCCCCAATGTCAGCGGCCTGTCATTTTACCTGCCTATCCTCACATGGCCTATTCTGGGTTCAGCAGCCCCTTCAACTGCGTGAGTCAGAAGAAGTCTCCAGCCTGACATCTGACCCACTTGCTTAGAACTTGCCCACTGCTGGAGCTGTGTGAATCGTTTCCTCTGCATGTTGTTACTGCGCATCATCAAGTTGCTGTTAGGTTTGAACCACTGATCTTGCAGTTACCAGTTCAGTGCTTAACCTTCAGTGTCACACCAAGACTCCATTTCCTTAATACAGACCTCTCTATGTATACATGGAGTCCGGGTGTGGCACTGCAGAATAAGCACTGGATTTCAAGCCACAAGGTTGGTGGTGCAAACCCACCACCTATTCCTTGGAAACCCTATACAAAGTTTCTATGAGTCGGAACCAACTTAATGGCACTTAACAACATATATATGCTTCTTCTAACTCACTGGTTTTACTTCTCTAGAGAACCCAGTCTAAGACACGTATGATAATAAAATATGGCATTTATAAATACATTAGCTTTCAGAGAGGTACCATGCCTAGAAAGAAAAGATGACCAAACCGCCTATGCTCCCCAGTTAGCACTAGATCAGTAGGTAATTACTATTTCTGCTACTGACATGCTCTAGGAAGAGAAAATGTTCCAGCTTTTCTTCTCTCCCATTCTTCTGAGACTCGGAAGCATCCCCTTGTCACCATGTCACTCCTAAGCCATATCAAGGTCATAGGGGACTCGAACTTTCTAGCCTTGCATACTAGACTCTGATATGTTCTGTGTTGTTGAGTGTCGTAGAATCAGTTTATACTCATAGGAAGCCTGTACAGAGTTTCTGAGTGGCTGGTGGGTTTGAACTGCTGACTCTATAGTTCCCATTTCAGTGCTTAATCTGCAGTAGCACACCAGGGCTCAGCCAGATAGTCTGATTTGATGTCAGCAGTACTGTGGTGCTAATGGCCTGCCCAGTCAATGCCTACACAGGCCGGGAAGTTTAGTTTTCCACACTGTATCGCACATTATGTCTTCAGCTGTAACTTGTTCTTATACAAAAGTTTGGAACTAGTTACAAGGGAACAAATCGAAATACTAGACAGAATAAATCTGATGTCTACTATATAGATACACCTGCAAACGTTGACCACACAGGTCAGAAGAGTTACATTTTTCTTAAAAAAGTAACAATAAAACACTTAAAAGTTTTATAAAATTACCATGATATAAACTTACCTCATCTCTTTATGTACACTTGGAATTTGATCTAATGCCATCCGGTAGAATTTAATGGCTTTGGAATAATTTCTTTGCTTTAAATAAATATTTCCCATATTCACTTTTAGTCTTCCTAATTAAAATAAAATTAGTGAATGTATACTATTCTCATTTTTTTTTTTACTCTTTCAGTAATATTTCAGATACTTTAATTCATATTTTTCTCAACTTAGATTTCAGATACTACCCAAAATTTTAACTTTGAAACAGTTACATTATTTTCACATATATGCACACATTATTCTTCTGTGGGGAAGTAGAATGTAGGACAGATGGGTCATGAAATATGAATGGAAGACAACTGATTTACATTCTAAAACTGGAAGTACATTCTTCTAAGAAAAACATGGAACTTAAAAAATATATGACATTTAAAAGTCAATGTAATTCTATCACATATATTTTAATGTAACATTAAAGAAAATGACATTCTAATAAATTATAATTGTTGCTAAGTGCTGTTGAGTTGGTTCTGACTCACAGTGACCCTGTACAGGGTTTGCTAAGAGTGGCTGGTAGCATAAACTATCACTCAATTCACAATAAAAACTTTAATATATATATATATATATATATATAAAATTCCAAGTTTAGATATTTTCATGACCTGTCTAAAAGGGTGTGGCCATTAACCAAAAATTCTTTTTTCTTAGTGTAATGTGGTTAACCTTCGAGCATTAAACCCACACTTCTAGAGATTTAAAAAAAAAGAGTGGCTGGTAGGTTTGAACCACCAGCCCTATGGGGCTTACCAGTCTAGGGCTTATCCTATAGCGCCACACTAGAACTTCCAATAAACTATAACACTGCTATAAAACATTATGCGACATCAACACTGGAGTTCCTTGGGGAAAGGTTTACATAGGGAAAGCAGATTCCATGGGGTTACAGTAGCTCATTCATTACTTGTGATGACCGAATACATTTTTTGTTTCTCTTATGGCAGTATGGGTAGTACAAATAGTTAATGTGCTTGGCTGCTAACTGAAAAGTTGGAGATTCGAGTCCACTCCCAGGTACCTCAGGAGAAAAGCCTGGCATGCTCCTTGTGAAAAATCAGCCAATGTAAACTCTATGCAGCACAGTTAGACTTTGGCAAACATGAGGTCACCATCGACTACATTCAATGGCAACTGGTTACCAGCTAATCAGGCAGTACATCTTACAACAAGTAAGCATTTCTTCATTTGTATTTGTATGTATTTTCACATACATAGTATCTTCAATCAGAACAACTCTTATCATAAATATAAATTTGCCTAGAGAATAATGCATTTCATTATGAAGAGTCAAGTGAGGAGATATAAATTAACATTATAAAAAAATGACACTTTTGGGGGGAAAACTCATCCTATACACATACCTGCATTGCTAAACATCTTATTTTTCACTATCACTTGGTATGTGTTCAGTGCTTCGGCATACATTTCATTAGCTGAATACTGACTGGCCAAGTTGAAAAGAACCTAAGGAAGACAATAATGCAATAATAATAATTACCATTTTAGGCTCCCTTTGACCCTAATATTTCTAGAGATTAAAACCCTACAATAAAGTTACCTGCTTATATCAAAGAACCAAACCAACTAGAAAATGAAATATGACAGAGAAATTGTATCCAAATGAGCGAGAACATTAAGATCAGTAGAGCTGTCCTCTAAATTTCACCTTAACTTTTTATGTATTCTAAGTTAGGTAATATTTGCCAATCACTAATCTCCAGAAGACCTATAAAAAACTAAATGTATATTATTATACCTACTGGTGATTAAAAGAATAACCAAATTATTTTTATAAACAGAAATAGCCTAATATACTTTTTATAAAGTTTAAAACTATTAGAAAAAAACCCCTATTATTTTAGGAAATATATAGATATAAGACGTCAAGGACTTCATTCTTCTTGGATCAACTATCAACACTCAGAGAAATAGCAGTCAAGTAGGCAAATCTGCTGCACAAGAACTTTTTAAAGTGTTGAAAAGCAAAGATGTCAGCTTGAGGACTAAGGTGTGCCTGACTCAATCCATGGTATTTTCAATAACCTCATATGCATGCGAAAGCTGGACAGTGAATAAGGAAGCCCATAGAAGAACTGATGCATTTGAGTTATGGTGTTGGAGCAGAATATTGAAAGTGCCATGGGCTGCCAAAAGAACCAATAGATCTGTGTCGGAAGAAGTGCAGCCAGAGTGCTCCTTGGAGGCCAATATGGCCAAACTTCATCTCTCATACTTTGGACATATTGTCAGGAGGGACCAGTTGCTGGAGAAGGATATCATATTTGGTAAGGTGAAGAGTCAGAGAAAAAGAGGAAGACCCCCAGCGAGATGGATTGGCCAAGTGGCAGCATCAATGGGCTCAAGCGTGGCAACAGTAGTGAGGTTGGCCCAGGATCGGGCAGTGCTTTGTTCTGCTGTGCATAAGGTCGCTATGAGTCGGTACCAACTCTATGGCACCAAACAACAACTACATAGCTATAAGAAGAACCATATAAGAATGAAAGCAAGAGAATGATAAAGACATGATTTAAAATGACGTTTGCCTCGGGTGGGGGAATGGGTCAGTAAGAGGGGCTATACAGTTGCACGCCAGTTGTTTTCAAGATCAGAGCATTTTGGAGGGGGAGATGAGAGGATGCTGGGTTGGCAGGTACTTACTACATTATTATTAATAATAAATAGCTATATTTCAAAAAGGACGCGTGCATGGATCAAAGATGAGTAGCCCATGAACTAAGAATTATTATTAATCTAATTCTCAGCACTTAAGGTCCAATAAGATTTTAAAAGAGAAAAAGAATTTAAGAAGTAAAAAGACTACTAAGCTTCATAAACTTAAGGCAAAACCATTTCACTCAGCAGATATTTTAATACTTACTGAGTAAGTCAAGTCCAAGTTGATATTTTCTGGAGTTGTAACTTGTTCACGTTGTCTTACTAGGACTCTCTCTTTCCTTCCAGCATCTTTTGCCTTTTCTAAGGCCTGAAATCAAATTTAGACTTTATAAATGCCTTTGAACTTTCTTTAGATTTTATGTACTTGAAAAATCATCTTTATGAAGCTTGTCTGAGTTCATTTTCCATTCTTAGATTCTCTGAGTTAACCCTCTGTGTTACCATAAACTCCCACTGAAAACAAAAGAACTCAAGAGTATTTGCTTACACTGGAGTGCACCATCATAAAAATGTCAGTGGGACAGACGTCTGTCTGAAATACAAAGCAGAGCAGAGGCTAGAGAAGTGCCTGGGGGGCTTCTCTAAGTCAGCTGTCCTCCAAACGGCAGGAGTCCTTGTGTGACGCTTCAGGATAAGCACTGGACTGGAAAGGTCGGCGGTTGTAACTCACTAGCGGTTCCTCAGAAACCATATGCAGGGTGACTATGAGTTGGAACTGACTCGAAGGCACTTAACAACAAGGACTACAGGAGTAACTTTCAGAGATTAGCAGGTATTGACTCTCCTAAAAGGAATTAATTTCTCTCTACACATCACTGATCTCAGAATGGGCCTGGGGTGCCAGTGCCTACCCCATCTCTTTCTCAAATTCTCCTTTTCCCATTTTATAAAACACAAGCATATACACCCACAGTACAACCCTGCCATTCCACGTCTATGTATTTATCCAAGAGTAAAGAAAATTTATGTCCACACAGATTAGTACATGAATGTTCATAACACCTTTATTTATATTACCGTAGTTGTTAAGTGCTGTCGAGTCAGTACTGACTCACTGAGTACAGTTCTGTGTATTTATCCACAAGTAGAAAAAAATTATCTCCACACAAAGACTAGGACATGAATGTTCATAGCATCTTTGAATGTAATGGTGTTATTGTTAAGTGCTGACAAGTCGGTTCTGACTCACAGCGACCCTGTATAGGGTTTCTGAGACTATAAATATGCGTAGGAGCAGAAAGCCTTATCTTTCTCTCGTGGTGTAGCTCGTGGGCTCAGATTTGGACCTTGTGGTTCACAGTCCAATGTTTATCGTACAGAGCCACTGCTCTCCCTTATGTGTAATAGCCTTGTGATAGTGAAGGCTTTGTGTCAACTTGACTGTGCCAAGATTCTCAGAGGATTGGTAGTTCTGGGATACCAGAACCACATGTTCGGTATGAACCATAAGATTGGTGGTTCAAACTTACCAGCTGCTCCTTGGAAACGCTATACATGATTGCAATGAGTCGGAACTGACTGGGCGGCACTTCACAACAATAACAAGGATGAGATGTGCAATGAGCAGCTAATCAATGGAGAGGAAGTTTCCTCAGGGCACAACCTGCTTCCAATATATTGAACACTTGGGCAAGGCTTGATTGCTTTCTGCTGGGTCTGTATTCTTCCTCTGGCTCGTCAGTTGACCTCCAGTTCTTTGGACTTGAGTCAGTGGCTTGCTTATTGCCTGCCGCTCATGGGAGTGGTCAGCAGCTGGCCATCTGACCTGTCTGCCACCTGACCTGCTGATCTTAGTTCATGAGCAACTACGTGAGTCAGAAGCCTCCAGCCTGACTTCTGGCCATCTGTTGGGACTTGTCCACCTCAATGTCATTGCGAGCCATTTCCTTGATAGAAACCTCTGGTGATGTTGTGGGTTCATGTGCTGAACTGCAAAGTCGGTTTGAACCACAAGGTCAGCAGTTCAAGCTCACCAGTCATTCCTCAGAAACCCTATACAGGTTCGCTATGAGTCAGAACTGACTCAATGGCACTTACCAACAACAATAACATATGTACATGGAGTCCTGGGCGTGGTGCTGTAGGGTAAGCACTCGACCAGAAGGTCAGTTTGATCTGCAAGGTCAGTGGTCCATCCACTCCTTGGAAACCCTATATAGGGTCTCTCTGAGTCAGAACTGACTCGACAGAATGACAACAACTTTATGTACATATATAAGCTTCACTGGTTTTGCTACTTTAGAAAATCCAACCTAAAACAAGCCCCAAACTAGAAATAATCCAAATGTTCTTCAACAGATGAATAAATAAACAAATTGTGGTATATTCACAGGATAGAATACCACTCAGCAATTTAAAAAAAAAAAAAATTTGCCAATACCCACAACATATATCATAAATTATGTTGAGGGAAGAGAGCTATGTGAAAAGGGTATATACATATAAAACTCTAGGAAATACAAACCAATTCCTAGTGACAAAAATCCTATCGGTGACACTGGGGCTGGAGGGACCAAAGGGAAGAACTGTAAAATGAAGGAAATGTTTGTGAGTTAGGGACATGTTCACTATGCTGTTTGTGGTGATGGTTTTACAGGTGTTGAAATGTAGCAAACTGTAATCTTTACAAATATACAGTTAATCGTCTATCAGTTATACCTCGTAACACTGGTGTTGTTTTATCAAAATGCGAGGGAAAAAAAAAGGATAAAAAGAGAGACAGAACACGTGTTGATGGAATTCTTCTGGGAAACAAGGAAAGTAGGAAGGATAAAATGTAGAGTATATTTGTCCTAGGTAAAATTTCTTTGTCACTATACCATGTCTACTTTTTCCTCCCAACTCCTGAATCTTTGGGGTTTTTGATTTGGCCTAGTGATGAGATACAGCATACTGGTGGCTTAAAGGATTGAGTGTTGGTTACTAATTGCAAGATCAGTAGTTGGAACCTACCAGCTCCTCCACAGGAGAAACACAAGGCTGTCTGATCCCATAAAGACTGACAAGCCTTGGGAACACTACAGAGCAGTTCTAGTCTGGTTCTATGGTCATCTGCATTGGAATTGATTCCTGCCAATGGATTAGATTTTGGCTTAGTACTGAGAGAGGAATTTTCATGGATTTTGTTGGCTTCTGGAATGCTCAAAAGACAAATAAATTATAGCATAATTGCTACCTAACATTATAGCAGGTAGAATATTACACCTGAGCTCGATTCCATATGCTTACTCAGAATGCTAAGAACCTTTCCTTCACACCCATTGAGAGACTAGGAGTCCCTAAGTGGCACAGTCAAGCGCTTGGCCACTAACCAAAAGGATGGTGTTCAGACTCACCCGGAAGATCCTTGGAAAAGGTCCTGACAATATGCTTCCCATAGGTCAAAGCTTTGAAAGCCTGTATGGGGCGCGGTTCTACCCTGCACATATGGGGTCGCCATGAACTGGAATCAACTTGAGGGCATCTGGGTTATTTGGTTTTGTTTTCTGCCTGAGCTCAGTTCTACACCTTATGCAGAATGCCGACCCTGAACTGACTTCTCTTGAGAGGCTAACCAGAGACAGTTCCTTCTTTTTAAAGTAACCAGCTAAAAAGTACTAATACTATGAAACTATACTGCACGCATCTTTCTGTCTAATGGTATTCATTAACCTGATTACAAAGTCACCAACATTATATTAATATGGTATGGCAAAGTAACCGAACAACAACAAAAAAAATGGCAGAATTGAATTCTGAAATACTAATGATGACTTTGAAGTTTATTAAGTAAAAAAACATTTTAGGGTAGTGAGGGTTAACTTAAAGTAAAAACATAACGTGACAGCATTTGGTACCATGTGTGGCTCATGGGAGTTATGTCTTTCTGCGTCTAATCCATAGTCCACCTAAACTACAAAATTTGGTTAGCTACTACATAAGGAGCTCTGGCAGCGTAGTGGTTATGAATTGGGCTGCGAACGTCAAGGTCAGCAGTTTGAAACTACCAGCTGTTCCATGGGAGAAAGATGAGGCTTTCTGCTCCCGAAAAGATTTACAGCCTTGGAAACCCTGTGCAGGGTCGTTATGAGTCGGAAACGACTCCACGGCACATAACAACAACAACAGCTACATTATAGCGTGGTGGTTCTGTAGGAAAAATACTGGACTGTGAACCACAAGGTCGGTAGTTCAAGCTCAGCAGACACTCCACAGGAGAAAAATGAGGCTTTCTTCTTCCAAAAGTTCTATAGCCTTGGTAGTCCTATATTTAACTTGATGGCCCTTAACAGCAACAATGCATTAGAATTTTTTTCCTTACTAAAATAAGTACTTGGGAAAATGTTACAAAAGCAACCCATGTTTTCAACATCACAGTTTATAAAGCCTAGTAACAATTCCAGGTTCTGAAAGTAATTACTTCACTCAAAATCCTACCGTTAGTCAATAGCAAAACAAAGACATTTATCTCTATATATGATTGTATGTTCATATATAAAACCAGACACACAAATATACACATACTTCATAATCTTGAGTCCTATGAATTTATGAACTCACCAATTTTAAGTCTCCAGAACTGTTTGCAATACAGCTTTCTTCTACCAACTCATTTACTTTCTTCTCCAATTGTCTAATCTTTTCTTCTGCACTATTAAAAGAAACCCACGGGTGTTATTTAAGTCATTAAACCATTTAATAATATATACTAAAATTTCATTTACTTTTAATATTGTCCAGTATGTGCTTTTAAACTTTGAGAACAGGTCACAGATGACCTGCTGATTCAGAGACGACCACTGAGAACAGGTCAAAGATGACCAATTATTCAGACACACAAATAAATCGTATTAAAAAGGAAATGTACTAATTTTTTTAAAACTACATTATATAATTATTCATAATGAAAGTGAAAATGATAACAACAACAAAAAAGTAACAACAGTAATAAGTATTCTCTTTAATTTTTCTTCTTTGAAATACCATTTTTTAGGTAAATGTTGTTGTTGTTGTTGTTATGTGCCGTGGAGTCGGTTCCGACTCATAGCGACCCTGTACAGGGTTTCTGAGGCTGTAAATCTTTACGGGAGCAGAAAGCCTCATCTTTCTCCCGCAGAACAGCTGGTAGTTTTGAACTGCTGACCTTGCGGTTCGCAGCCCGATTCATAACCACTACGCAGCATATCTTACCACATTTACAGCCCCATTTGGGTTTCATGGGAGTCAATAATGACATCACAAATATTAAACCACATTTTAAAATCCAACACACTTACACTCCTCACTTATCAACTATCTCATTATCCAACATTTCACATTTACAATAGTAAAACAAAAATCTATGGAACTATGTTGCACATTAACGATATATATCTGGCAGTAACGGTTGTTGGGGTGAGGTGTGAATAATGCTGGATGGGATGGTTAAGATTCTGTTTCAACTTGGCCAGGCCATCATTCTCAGGGTTTGGCAGTTATGTACTGATGTAATCTGGCAGCTATGTAATCATTTGAGTTGGCAGTTTTGTAAGGATGCCGACCCACCATCCTTCATGTTCATTTAACACCAGTATTCATATAGAAACCTGCTCTATAGCAGCCAACCATGTTGGTAAGTGAGGAATGGGTGCAACATTATAATGAGTCTGTTCACAACAATAAAAATACATTTTTATTTATTATTCTTCTTAGAGTTTATTCTATTTCTCGTTCCAAAACCTAGGGATAATGTTTTCATGTTGGCATAGACTTTCTTTTTTTTAACATGTAAGAAGTGAGCATTTGGAAAATAAAAATAAAAATGTACAACAATAAAACAAGAGAATAACAACATGCATACCTATCTTCGTTTTTGACTTCCAAAGGAGGTGCAGGGCCCCTTGACTGACCAAGGGGGTCAAATGAAGAGCCTGAGATACAATTCAAGAATTCACATTTGTAATCCAGCAAAATTGAACACAACATGAAAATATGAATCCTTGCACAAGTTACTTAATTTACCTACTGGAGTAAATGATCAATTTGTTAAAAGGACATATTTACTAAAATGACACAAACATCTTACACCAGGAAATTGGTAAGACTTTTCATACACACATAAAAACCATTTAAAACTTGAATGTTAATATGTAAAAACAAAAATGAGACACTATGTCAGCATCTGCTTTCTTCCCCATAGTGATCTATTCCTATCATGAACTCTATATGATCAGCTATCTGAGTAATAGCTAGGTATTGGCTTTTTAATTTCCCCTAATAATTTAATTCCCTTTGTCATTATAATTTTATCTTAAAATTTATTACTTAATGTATATATTTAAAAACTATTTCCACCTTTAATTTTCTTCTAACTGGTCTATGATTTATATAAAATAAAATGCACAAATATTAACGGTACAATTCACGACATTTTCACATGTTACACCTTAACGTAACTACCAACTCAACTAGTATGTAGAACATTCTCCTCACCCCTTTCCTTTCTTAGTGGTGCATTTTCTAATCAGTGGCATTTAGACTTAATAATAAATGGTAGTAATAATTACACATACGCAAACATTAAAAAAAAGAAAAGATGTGAAAAAAAGGAAAGTGTTAGTAGAGATAGTAAAACAAACCTCTCAAAGCTGCTTTGGTAAACCCAGCCGCTCTCACTGCTGTCATGGGTCTAGTAACTCCATCCTTCAAAGGATAAGAATCATTTAAAACGTATTCCTAAGAAGATATGCCTCTTAGCTACAGTTCTGCGCATGACGCATATCTGAAGATAGCTCCAATTTTAAAAATGCATTTTCCATCACTATCTGCCTGTTTCTTACTTCTGCTTCCTTATGTATCAATCCTGTCTCGAGTTCCCCTTCCTCCTATAATATTTCAATTCTTTAACCCATCTGGCCTTACTCCCAATTTTAAAAGGCAAAAAAAAAAAAAAAAGATAAGTTTATTAATTGGCTAAACTACAGTGGAAGTGTTTCCTACATGCCTATGAGAGAAAGCACAAAAATTATTGTAAATGGCAGCATAGAAAATACGAAACCCAGATAACTTCAAACAAGCAAATAGATACTCAGTCCTATGTTCACTCCCCCATTAGATTATAATTTCAGACCTGAGCAAAAAAATCCAACGAGGCTTTGCATCCAAAAATTTAAAGACTTAATAAGGTCACTATAAAAGTAACTTTTTCTTTAACGTTTTGAAAACTACTTATGATAATGGACAAAAACATTGTATCAATAATCGTTCAAGTCACAAAAAAGGCACAGAATGAACCATCACACTACAGCATTACCTGGATAGCTCCCGTCATAGGCCTTCCCAGGGAGGATGTCAGGGATGTCTTGGACTAGTAAACAGAAAAGTTAAAATGATTCCTAAAAACCTCTTTCATGTTTACAAACCCAATTATGAAAGTTTTATTTATAACATTACTATTCTGTCGGGGAGTAAATTTAAATATAATTTTTCCATAAAATGCTAAAACGGGGTCAACAGAGTTTTATAACCCACAGTCTTTGTAAATAAAGTTTTATTGGAACACAGCCGCATCCCATTCATTGCATATTGTCTCTGGGTTTTTTCACACTACATGCAGAGCGTAGTTGCTGATACACAGACCACATAACCTGGAAAGCATAAAATGGCCCTTTACAGAAAAAGTTTGCTGACTCTGCTCAAAAAAAACGCCATCAGTAATCAAATCTGTGATTTGCTCAAACTGGTAATAAAAGCATATTTCATGTAACACACAATTAGAAAGAAAGGAACTTTCTTTGTGCACATAAAGGGACATGAAGGTAAGTACCCTGAACCTGTTTAAGTGTTGAAGACATTTTTCTGGCCCTAAACAAATATTATCAGAATGATTAGGAAATGTTATTCCATCTCATTGTTTCATTTTTCTCCCAATCCTCTATTCATATAAATGAAAATATCCAAATTGTAGGTAATATAGCAAGAATGAAAAAAGGCTTCTTACTTATTTATTTATTTATTTTTCTACAGCACTTGTCCTTCAAAGTTCTCTAACATAAGTACAGTCCAAATGCTTTCTCAAATTTTCAGTTTTAATTTATTAATTGCTTTTTTACTTTTAACAATTATAAGCGCTATTACACTGACACAACATCTAAGGTCATACAAAATACACAGATGAAATATACATGAGACTTGGTGATACCACACAGAAAAGTAAATGGAATCATGAAACAAACACGAGGTTTACAAATGGAAAAAGGTTTAAAAGATTGCCTAGTATATTTACAAATCAAAATGACTAGAATGCACTAGGTTTTTAATCAGATTAGACTTTTTACTCTATATGTTCATAACTATCCAAAGTGGAAAATATCAGGCTGAGGGACTAAAAGGTAATCCAGATAGCCAAAATTATTTAGCCTTGCCTCAAGTGATCTTAAATAAGAGAAAAATCATCTTAATATTTCAGCTCAAGAAAACCTACCCCATATCCAGTAGCTATAGGTCTAGTAACTGCCGTGCTTGGAATTTTAGCAGTTATCTTGGAGAGGGAAAACAAAAACAAAAACCATAGTTAATAGAATGCATATTAAGCCATATAATAGAAAATTGGAAAGCACAGACTCATCAATAAGAGAGTTTAAATATTTTAAGTATTGGGAAAGAAACCCACTCATTTTAAAGAAGAAAGGCAGCTTTAAAATGACCTGAGATGCCAATAGTAAAGATTCTTTTTCAAGCTTATATCAGTCAATTGATTCACTGAACAAGTTGCATGCCAGCCACTGAACCAAGCAATAAACACAGGATTTAGAGAGTCACAGAACCTAAGCTTCATCCTCAGCTCTCTCTCTCTATTAGCTGCCTTTATTTAATTTGTTTTAACGTAAATCTCCTCAGCTTGGAAATAAAGATGCACAATCACAATGTCCCGATCATAAAATTATAATAAAATACTATAAAATAAAATTATAATAAAATAAGATCATGTACATTAAAATGTCCTAAACATGCTAATTGTTAAAAATACATGTTTAAGAGATCATTAGTGGAGAAATTCCACTTTTGGCTATTGTGGGCAACCTTCGACAAAGAACAAATAAAAAAGCTGGGGCGAAATCGGTATGAATACATCAGATTGCCTTCAAGGCAGAGATGAATTACAAGGTTTTGAGAGAAGGAAGAAAAGAGAAGGCCAGGGAGCTAGGCCGTCATTTGGGCCTATTTTTCTTGAAGCGGCATCTGTTTATTCTAAAGGCATGGCTTGTTGTTGTTAAGTGGCATTGAGTCGATCACAATCCATAGCGACTCTGTATAGGGTTTTCAAGGAGTGGCTGGTAAGTTTGAACTGCTGACCTTGAGGTTGAAAGCAACTTTACAATCCAGCACATTAACCCACAATGCTACACCAGGGCTCCAAAGTCATGACTTGGTGGTGGTGGTGTGTCGTGGAGTCAGTTCCGACTCACAGCGACCCTGTACAGGGTTTCCGAGGCTGTAAATCTTTACGGGAGCAGAACGCCTCATCTTTCTTCCGCAGTTTCAAATGCCTGACCTAGCAGTTCGCAGCTCGATTTGTAACCACTACGCTACCAGAGTCATGACTTAGAATCTGAAAATAGTTTTCAAGACTCAGAAATATCAAGAGACAAAAACTGGAAGTCAGGGCTTGCCAAGAGGCAGCCTTGGTAATCTTTTGGGCAAAAAGACTAGCGTCTCGAAAGGCTATACCCTAAGACTTAAAGGTAAATTCGAACAGCATACCAGCCTTCATAAGGGCTAGAGGCAATTCTCCCTTACGTAAAAGCAAATCCCCTACAATTGCATTATCCAGTAGAACTTACTATGATGGAAGTGCTGTCCATCCTAGAAAGGCAGTCGTTAGCTACATTTGTCTTTTGAGCAGTAAAAATGGCTACTGCAAAGAGAATCTGAATTGTGATTTTATTCCATTTTAAACAATTTAAATGAAAAAGCCACATTTGGCTCATAGCTATCATCTTGAACAGCACAGTTCTAGAACCTGAAATTATCTCTAGAATGTTTCATTTATAATATTTGGCATTTAATCAAAAACAACAGACACATGGAGAGACACAACTACTTAACCAAAAACAAAGAGAAACAAAAGACAAAGGAAAGAAACCCAGGGATGGGGTGAAGAGTGGTCCATATAATGAAAATATTGGACACAGACTTTAACATACATATGATTAAAGGTATGTTTAACAGCCTCAACTTCAGTAGACAACTGTAGACTATTTAAAAATGAGCAATGGATGTTCTAGAACTGAAAATCTGACCCATAGGGACCCTGTATAGGGTTGAACAGCTGGTGAGCTTGAACCACTGACTCTGCAGTTCAAACGGCTTTGCAGTCTGGCGCATTAACCCACAGCGCCACACCAGGACTCCTAGAAGTGGTTAAAACACTAAGTTCTACTGGACCTTAATAAGTCAAATATGAGTGTTGTAATCTTTAGGGAAACACTAAAAGAATGATTAAAGAATATAAATGACCAATATAATGCATATGTTCTCATAGCAACAAAGATGACAGAAGAGGGAAATGGATTAATAGGATCAATCAGGCAAAAGAAAAAAAGAAAGGAGAGAAAAATGAAACAAAAGAGGCAAGAAGAACAAAAAACTAATAGTAAGGTGGTTAGATTTAAACCAATTTAATAATTGCATTAAATGCATATAGCCTTCTTTATGTTGTCATTGTAGTTAAGTGTTGTCGAGTTGGTTCTGACTCATAGCAACCCTATACATGATTTCCGAGGAGTGACTGGTGGGTTTGAACTACCAACCTTGTAGTTAGCAGTCTAGTAGTTATCCTACAATGTCACACCAGGACTCCAATACACTTTACTAAAAGATTAACACTGTCAGACTTCATTAAGAAAGCAGAACCCAACTACAAGGAGTTAGTAAAAGATACATACTAAATCTACGAATGTGAAAATATACTCAGATAAACAAATACGGAAATGTTGAAAGAAAAAGATGAGGAGGATTTATTATACACACAATGCATCAAAGAAAAGTTGTATAACTGTATCCGTCTATTGATTTAAAGTGAATAGAAACACAAAGACATTTCACAACAATTAAAAAGCTCAACTTACCATGAAAATATAATAATAATTCTAAATATCTTAGTTTACAATTTCTAAGGAAGAAAACGAAAAACAAATGCACAATGTGGAAGATTTAATCACATCTGTCATTAATAACAGAAACAGTAAATAAATTTTTAAGAAGTGAAAAAAAAATCTATAAAAATATAGAACATTCGAACAGAACAACTTTCTAACGTGTCCTGACATTGAATCCATCAACTGTGGTGCATCCATTCTTTTTGAATGCACTTGGGATATTAACACATTTCTAAGAATTTTTATCATACAGAGAATGTTCCCATAAAGCTAGAAATCTCTAATACAAAGGTAACTAGAAACAAATATGTTTAAAAATTAAATATATTTCTAACTAACCCAAGGGTCAAAGAAGAAATCACCATGGAAGTTTAAAACCATTGTGAACTGAATGATAACAAAAATATCATTAGAGGGAAAGTACAGAAAGAAAAACATACATATCCGCTAATTCTGTAAGAAAGAAGATGCCAGAATTAACATACGTTTGTTAGGTGAGCTTTAATCTTTGGTTCTTTGACATAATATAGAAAACCCATTGCTAATAAGTTGATTCGAACTCATACAGACCCTACAGCACAGAGCAGAACTGCCCACCAGGATTCCACGGCGGAAATTTTTTACGAAGGCAGACTGTAACACCTTTCTCCCACAAACGTTACGTTGCTGTTATGTGCCATCCAGTGGCTTACAACTCATAGCGACCCTGTATGGGGTTTCCAAGGAGCGACTGGTGAATTGAACCACTGATTTTGCAGTTCAAACCCTACTTTCGGTCCAGTGATTATCTTACAGCACCACACCAGGGTCCCGTAACCAACCTTTCGTCTATCAGCCAGGTACTTAACCACTGTGCCACCAGGATTTTTTCCTAAGATAATAGCAGACCATTATCACCTCTTCCTTTATTTGCCTTCAATGCCTTTCCTCCCAAATCTCAGTCAAATTCCACCTGTCCTTTGAATTCAACTCGAAATTTATCTTCCAAGCAGCCTCTTCTGATTGCCACAACCAGTGTCTGTTGTTATATAGGGTTGTAGCTCTGGTAGCGTAGTGGCTACGAATCAGGCTGCGAACCTTAAGGTCAGCAGTTCAAAACTACCAGCTGTTCAGTGGCAGAAAGATGAGGCTTTTTGCTCCTGTAAAGATATACAGCCTCGGAAACCCTGTACAGGTTCGCTATGAGTCGGAATCGACTCCACGGCACATAACAACAACAACAACATAAGTGGGAACCAACTTGAGGTCACCTAACTACAACAATCACACAATTTTAGGAAGGAAAATAAAAATGACACAAATAGATACTATAAAACATTATGTGATCACTGTCACACACACACACACACACACAAAAGCATCTAGATTGCTATAGGATCACAAGTTGAGGTTATTTACCATTTACTGGAAATCCCTGGGTGGTGTCAACGATTAAGCACTCCTCTACTATCTGAAAGGTTGTGGTTCAATCCCACTCCCACCCAGAGGTGCCTTTAAAATGAACCATCTCAGAAGTAAGTACCATCAAAGGGGAAAAGCCAACAGGGGAGCACAGCCTTTGGACCTGAGATCCCTTCACACTGAAGCTCCTTGACCCAGGGACAGGAAGCAGTGACACCAGAGAGGCAGAGGAGCAGCAGCAACACAACCAAAAGCCAGAGAGCACGACAGAGCGGTGGGCTTTCCAGCCCACAGAGCAAGTAAAGCTGAGCAATCTCTCCAGGAACTTATGTGGGGGAGATACAGGTTAGCTGCCTCATGGAACCAGAGCCAAGTACCTTCAAGCCCATACTACTGGTGGAGTGGTGGAGTGGTACGTCCTGAGGACATGCATCAGCAGCCCTAAAAGAGCTTTGTAACATCACCAGGGAAGGGCAGAGGCCAGGCAGAGAGGCCTGCCTGCAGGCATGGCTTAGGCAAGACTGTCCTAACTGACCACTTCTGGCCCTGAATAGCCTGTTAACTTCCCTAATAAACCCCATAACTGAGTATTGTCCCCAAGTTCTTTGTGGCCATTCCAACAAATTATTGGACCTGGCTGAGCAGAGAATGTTGTAGCCGGGATGCTTAGTAACTAATTTTTACAGTAAACAACGAATGTTTTAGGTAAACCTATTCAAATGCCTTATGTAAACAATATATTTACAGGAGCAGGAAGAAATTCTTCCATCCAAAATACTGTAAAATGGACTTACTGGAGGTCTTCTGCCATGACTAGTTCTCACAGCTTGCTGAAAAGCTGTATCATTCTCCAATTCCTAAAATGAAAAAGCAAACTTAACATTCAATGTGAAACGGCAAGTTGGAAAAAATGTAAACTTCTGTTTGTCATTCAAGAACCTGCATAATTCACCTTACCCCGTATGTGCCTATCTGAGCAAGGGCTCAAAGACTAAGATAGGAAACTGATAATGTTAGTCAGTTTCAGAGGTTCTTGTTAGCCACTGATGAAAGGGTGTTGTCATTACGCCCAGTTTCCTACCACAAACCCTTGTTCTAATCTGTCATAGGATGTATGCTCAAGTTTCAAACCATCTTCTCTGATGTACTTTAGCCTATTGTCCATAAAAATAAATACACTGATTATTATGTAAATATAAACAATACATACAAAACTGAGTAACTAATCCAATAACTTGCAAAAAATTTATAGATAATTGAAATCAAAACATTTATAGAACTAGAATACAAATACAATATACTTCAAAACAGGATTTTAGTATGAAGGGTCTTCAAAGAGTTTGCGGGAAAAATGGAATTAAAAGTACATGGAATTTTTTTCATGAACTTTTGAAGCCTCCTCTCTATGTAAGTAATCTTACTTCATCTTCAAAACCTTTTATATCAGCTATATAAAATTAAGTATTTACATTTATATATAAATATACACATGTATAAACATTTAACTTTAGCTGATATGACATTGTCATCCAGTCAGAGAAACTAAGAGACTTTCACACAAGTATAAAGCCAAAGGCAACCTCTAGCTATATCCTTCAGCATCATTATACTTTAGTTTTGGCAGCTCATTTGGTTGAAGGGAAATTATCTAATACTACTAAAGTCCTAATCTTATTTAATCAGGTAAAAGTTTTTAACTAAATGACAAACTAAAAAGAATTGTCAACAAATTTGCCATTTACAAGCACCGTAACAATATATTTAAACAATGTTTCTCTGATATGATTAACAATATATTTTATTATTCTAATGGATAAACCAAATATCCATTTTATTTTAAAATTTTTATATCAGATATTATAAAACTAAATAATTCATCTTATGATATAACTGTCAAAGAGTTAGGAAGTTTTTCTGGTGCTTAGAAAGTAACCATACTCATATTTTATTTATTCCATTTCTGGGAGTGTATGTATCCAAAGAAATGTTTGCCTAAAACATAAAAACTTATATATGCATAAAGTTATTTATTACAATATTATTTATAACAGGAGAAAATTGGAACTACTCATGATGAGAAAATGGCTCTAATTAACCATATATATTTGGCATCATGTAGCCACTAACATTACACTTATTTAAAATTTTAATACCATGAGTACTACTTATGATATAATTGAACACAAAGAAGCAAATTGAAAAGTAAATGCTAAATCTATCCCAATTAAGTTAAAAGGGAACACTAATGGGATTGTGGGTAATTCTGTTTTACAACAATGAGTAGCATTACTTGGGGGAATAAGGGGTTATAATGGTTTTAACCACCACTGGTCTGTCAGTTTGTCATACTGTGGTGACTTGTGAGTTGCTGTGATTCTGAAAGCTATGCCACCAGTATTTTAAATACCAGCAGGGTCACCCATTGTGGACAGGTTCCGGATGAGCTTCCAGACAAAGACAGACTAGGAAGAAGGAGTGACGAACTACTTCCGAATATTTAGTCACTGAAAACCTTATGAATAGCAGAGAAACACTGTTAGATATAGCGCCAAAAAACGAGCCCCTCAGGTTGGAAGGCACTCAAAATGCGACTGGGGAAGAGCTGCCTCCTCAAAGT